CGCGCTACGTGCCCACGGCGCTCGACCGCTTCTCCGGTACGCCCGAGGGCCCCGCTAGGGCCGCGGGGGCGCGTGGCGCAGCCGCCCCGTCGGGCGGGCCGCGTCTTCTGCGCGCGTCGCCGGTGCGGCAGGCCCGCCGGAGCCCAGGTGGCCGCGCGGGGCCGAGAGAGCGCGCCGGACTGGAGGGCTGGCCGCTCCGGGGCCGCTCTCGGGCGCCCGCCCGTCCCCGCCGGAGTCGGACGGGACGGAAGCCCCGCGGGCACCCGGGTAGGGTCCGCCGCAGCGCTGACCGCCTTTCTGCTCCTCCCCCAGCCGTGATCCAAGTGGACGGCGCCCCGATCCGGCTCCAGCTGTGCGACACGGCAGGGCAGGTAAGGGCTCCCCCCGCCCCTCCCGAGCGAGCCCGAGCCGCGCGTGTCTTTCCTGCCGCGCGGACTGGCCTCTGCCCGGGCTGCCTGTAAGAAGCGGCGGGCCGGGGACGCGCGTGTAAACAAGCGCGCCCGCTTGGGAGGAGGCCTGCCAGGGCAGGAGCGCTTCCGTGCAGGTAAACATGTTTGCTCTGCCCTCTGGGCATGTTGACTTGGAGGGGGGCCGTGCTGGAGGGCTTCCCCTGTGCCCCAAACCCAGGCGCAGAGGCTCTTGGGAGGCTGATGGCGGGCGCAGCGGGGGCTGGGCGCCCTGGGCCAGGGCCGGGCCCGCGGCACGGGCGCCCTCGCTCTCGCGGCGGCTTGGGCCGCGGCCGCAGCCGCCGCCTACCTTCCTTGCTGCGCCCGCGGAGCTGAGCCCTTTGCGGGGGCTCCCTGCCGCCGCTGGGGGCGGCTCCGCCCGTGGAGGGGCGGCAAAAGGCGCAGCCCTTCCCAGGTGCAGGCAGGAACGTGTCTTGCGGCTCCGCGGTAGGACTTCCCTCCCGTCGAAGCGCGCGGACCTTCGGCCTGGGCGCACTCGGGAACGGCCACGGCCGCCCGCCCTCGCCCCATCCCCGCCTGCGCCGGGCTGGGGGCGCTTCCGGCCTGCCGCGTTGGGACCTGGCCCAACCGCCCCCCCTCTGCCCCGCCCAGGATGAGTTCGACGCCCTGCGCCGGGTGTGCTACCCCAAGGCCGACGTCCTGCTGCTCTGCTTCAGCGTGGTGGCCCCCACGTCCTTCCGGAACGTCGCGGACAAGTGGGTCCCCGAGGTGCGGCGCCTCTGCCCCGGCACGCCGGTGCTGCTGGTGGGCACACAGGCCGACCTGCGGCACGATGTCAAGGTGCTGATCGCGCTCTCCCGGCGCCACGAGGAGCCAGTGCCTGCCGCGGCCGCCCGGGCGCTGTCCGCCAAGCTGGGGCTGGTGCGCTACGTGGAGTGCTCAGCCCTCACGCAGCACAACGTCAAGGAGGTGTTCGACGCCGCCATCACGGTGGGGCTGCGGCACGCTGAGCCCCCAGGGCCCCCGCCCCACAGGAGCGCCGCCAGCAGCCTCCGGACCCTCTCCAAAGCCTGGTGGAAGAAGTACGTTTGTGTGCGGTAGCCCCTGCCGGTGCTGTGTCCTGGGCTTCGATCCCAGGACGCGCCCCTTTGACTGGCCGGGGTGCTGGTGCTGCACTGTGGAGAACGGACCCCCCACCGCCCGTGGCTCCTCGCCTGTGGACCGGGCTGTCTGGACGGAGGAGGCTCCCGGCCCCGAAGGCAGCCGGACTCCCACCGTGGCGATGCTCACGCCTCGCACTGCCTCGTGCAGAGGGGCCGGCCAGGGGCCGCCCGAGCCAGCCCCCCAGGCAGCAGTGCTCTCGGTGGGGGTGGCTTTCACCCCCAGCCCCCCATGAACGGACCCTCCAGGCTGCAGCATGGCGAGGCACGTGTGGTGCACTCCCGGCCCCCCGGAAGCGAGGGGCACGGCCGTCCGGGCTGGAGCTGCTGCGCTCGAGGGGCACAGAGGGGCACAGGCGTTTCTCCCATGGCATGCTGGGAAGGTGCTGAGCGGCAGCTTCCCCGCACGGGGCCGTGTGTGAGAGGGAGCGAAGCTGGAGCGCCCCCCCGCCCCCCCCCCCGCCACTCTGCAGGTGGAGAGCAGCGGCAGCCAGGCAGGAACTGTCTGTGGCGGAACTGTGCCATGAAAGTGAAACTGACACGCGGCATGAGAATCGTGCTTCAGCCCGACCTGCTTGTGCCTGCCGAGCCCGAAGTTGCGCTCCCGGGGCCGGCGGGGCTGTGGCAGGCTGGCTTGCTCGCACTTCAGACTTCCCTGCCGCTCTTTCCCCTTTCCTTCCGTGGAAAAGGCTCTGCCATTCAGACCTGATTCCCAAGGATGGGGACGGCTTCCCCGCTGCCAGGGCTGCTCCCCGCGGGGCTCACTCGCCCTTCCCCGATGGAAGGATCCGCAGGGAGAAAGGGGAGCGTCTCTTCCTCTCATCCTGGAAAATCTTGAAGAAACAGGCACTTGCAGCGCTTTCGAAGCGGCTGGTTTTCTGCGGGGCCATGAACTGCGCTGCAGCCCAGAGACGGATCGAGCAAGGGGGGAGTAGCCCCTCCCACCTCCCCCCCCCGGCTGCCGTTCACGCTGGAGCAGCGCTGCACCTGGGGCAAAAGTCTGCCTGCCCCTTGCTTTTCACACGGAAGCGATTAAACCCCCAAACGCCGCCTCCTCACTCTGGTGTTGTGTCCACTTGCTTCCACGCGGAGCACCTGTCACGGCGGAGGGGCATGGGGAGGCCGGGGCAGGGGCTAGGGGTCTCCCTTGCAGTGCAGGGGGGTGGCTGGCGCTCCCTCCGCTCCCCCGCTGAAGCAGGGAGCATTCGCTGGGCGCTGGCACCGTTCCGGCAAGGCGAGGCAGCAGGGGTCTCCCTCTCGCCCAGCCCAGAGGAGCCTCAGCTAAGGAGGGCAGGGGAGGTGCTGGCAGGGTGGGGGTGACGGCTCCCCACAAGGGTCGGGAAATGTGCTCTGCATGGGCTCAGAGGCAGCCGATCTTTAAATGCACGACTCCACAGAACCCCGGCTGAATCTTGTTCCTCACTCCGAGTCGCAGGGATTAGCACTGGAATGTTAATATTAACAAGAATGGCGGATGGCAGCAGATCTGAACTGAGGGGGCTGCTGGAGGGAGTGTGGGGGGCAGCTCTCTTGTCCCCCTGGACCCTTAAAGAGAAAACCGCTCTCACCTCGCCCCCAGAGCTGCGAGGAGCCGGCCAGGGCCCAGAGAGGGTGACTCAAGAAGCAGGTAAGGAGGGAGGGCTGCAGAGGCCCCTGGCCGGCTGCCCCCTCCCCCCCTGGCCCGGAGCAAAGGCGGCCCTGAGCTGGAGCGGCTCCCCTCCAGGTATTCCAGGGGGAGCAGGCAGGCCTGGAGCGCTCCAGAGCGGCTGAGTTGACAGAAAGCAGCCCGTGAAGTTTGGACGGGAGGACGGAGTCCGAGTGCGGCGAACGAACGAGGCTGCTGGGGGGGGGGGGGCGCAGGCAGCGCCCTCCTCGGTCCCTTCTCCCACCCCGCTGAGGAGAGCGCCTGGGCAGCCCGACTCCTGGAGCCCCGCACCCCTTCCCAGGGCTGGGAACCCCACCTGGAGACTTGCTCAAGGGCCCCTTGCAGGGGCGGTAATAGCCGGGGGGGGGGCTGCCCCCAGCTTCGCGCTGGTCCCCATCCCCCCCCCGCGCTCGGGGCTGGCAGGCTCCGGGCCTGTCTCCGCGCCGCCTGCCTCGCCTCGCTGCAGGAACCAGCTTGACGGCGGGGGGGGGGGGGGGGGGAGGGGCCGCCTGCGCCCGGCCCCCGGGCCCAGCACCGGCGGGGCCTGGCGCTCGCCTGGCAAGGACGGGCGGTTCTGCCTCTCCTGGGCCCGGCCGCGCCTGCCCCCCCGCCCCCGCCTTGCAGGGAGGGCCTGCGCAGGGGAGGGGAGGGGAGCGGCGGGCAGGGTGCTGGGCCGTGGGGATGGCTGCAGGGCGGCCTCCCGGACGCCTGGGTCCCTCCCCCACCTCGCTGGGCGGGGGGGGGGGAGCCAGCGCGGTCGGGCAGGCCAGGGGCCCTCCCCCTGCGTGCCGAGCTCACCTGGGCTGGGGCCGCCCCGCCCACTGCACGGGAGAGAGGCGAGCTCCCGAGCCTCTCCCGCCCGGCCCGGCCCGGCCCGGAGGCTGGCGGCCCTGGTTGCGCGGCTGCCTGGCCGTGCGCCCGCTGCACGCCAGCCCCGTGAGGTGGTCCTGTGCGATGCTGGACGGGCTGCCGCTCGCTCCGAGCGCCTAGCTCTGAACGGCGCTCCAGCCCAGCGCGGGACAACCGAGCCCCCGTCCGCTCCGCTGCGGTGGCGGGTCCTGGCCCGGGAGCCCTTTGCTCTGTCCTCAGCAGGCACAGGGGGCCGATGGAATGCTCCCCTCTGAGCACGTGCCGAGCGTCTTCCGCCGCACAGGGCGAGCAGGGTAAAGGCACCTGAAGGGTTGTGAGGTCTGACGGAAGTGCCCCAGCCATGGCTCCAGTCTGCGGGGTGGAAAGCCGGGAAAGATGCCCCCAGCTGCCCGCTCCGACGGAATGCCCTGCCGCCGCTCGGGGGCTCCCGGGGCCGTCCTGACCCGTGCTCGGCGCACCCGGCTTCGCCAGGGCCACCTCGCCGCCAAAGCCTCCCCGGCCAAGCGGCCTCTTGCGGGCAGGGCGGCAAACCCCAT